ATTTTGTGTTTCCCGGTGCTTTTGAAAACTATTGGGATTTTTAACCTTCCGAATGCCCCAATTTGCTTCTCATGCACATCGAACAAGATACTGTTGAAGAAAATCGAAGCAGTTTTACTGCCACAAACAGTGATGACAGACACAAAAAAACACACACATCATTGTAAAATCAATAGGTGAACATGGGGCAAAGTGGGGTACCGGGGCAAAGTGGGGACATTGTATTATCTTTTTATTTAATGTAAAACATTTGTAATATTATTAGATTTATGGCTTCCTTGGTCGTCTGAGATTGTGTGGTAGAAGTTTTAAATCAAACTAGCGATTATTTTGCAATTAATCAGTGAAAAACTGGACATATGCCCATTATAATTTACTTGATAATAGAATTGCATAATTTGTTATTTATATATTCAATTACTTTGGGCTTTGTTATTAATAATTTTTTTTTTTATTAAAAAGTCTATGTTGTTTGTTCTATGATTAAATTTCTTTAGTTATGTTTAAGTATTTAAATACAATAAAATCAATGGCTCTGGGTAATTTAATTATTTGGGGAAAAGTGGTTTATACCTGTCTTTGGCAATGTGGGAAAAACCCAAATATTCTTAAAATAAAGGAAGAACTTCAGTTGATGGGTAGATTCAGTGTCTATTATATAAAAAATGGCTTCATTGTATTTGTGCTGAGTTTGAAGAAAAAGATTAGAAAACCATATTTAAATGTGAATTCTGTTCCTAAATTATTTTTATGTTTTTTTTTTTTTTTTTTATTAAGGTTGAGGCTTCGACAACAAAGATCATTAGCCGGTGGTACTGTAGGGGGGGACTGTAGGTTGTTAACACGTGTGTGGGTTTTGGCAGAATTTTCGATTTGGGCACCCGTAGGTATCTGCCATGCCCGGGTGGGGGATGGCGGCATTTGTTCTCCAGAAAAATGCCGCCCGTGACCACGGGATCGAACCGGCGCCGGCAGCGTCGCAACCGACGCCTTAGACCGCTCGGCCACTCCGTCCCCCATTTTTATGTTTTTATAACATATAAAAAGTTAAATTTATAATTTTATTTCTTTTAAGTTAAGCTATACACGTATATTAACGTTTTTTATAAATAATTTGTTGTGTTTATAAAATTAATTAAAATATATGAAATTTTTTCGTATATTGCCCACGTATGGGGCAAAGTGGGGTAAACTTTACTTTTTATTACATCCTTTTAAACTTACATAAAAAAAAAAAATCAAATTTTCATAAAAAATGTATTATCAATTACCATAACCTCTAGAGTGTGTGAACAAAATGTGAAAGGATAAAATTGATTTTTAAGTGAATTTCAGGTCTTTAGACATTAGCGTCCCCACTTTGCCCCATGTTCCCCTACATTCATCGCTCCGCTCAGAATATCTAAAACTATTTTCTGTTAATAAAATATATAATAATCTTAAAACTCGTTATTTTACATTTAATTATAACATTTTTTTTTTTGATTTGTATCCCATAATAATTTGTTGATTATGTTGTATTGTTTATATTTCACTGATTTGGAAAGAAAAATATACAACATTGAACTTTAAAGCGATTGTTTTCAGATGTGAAACAAACTATAATTTGATCAATCATACGTTGTTGTCCATTAAATAGTTATACTATAATAAATACTGTGTGTTTGTGTAGCATGATGGCGCCATAAGAAACTAATAATTATCTCATATCAGTCATATTCTGTAGTATTGTACTGTAACATTTTCAAGGTCTTTATTGAACGAAGATTAAATTAATCATATTCATTTGTGAATTTGTGATACTGCAAATATTCTATCAAAGGGTTAATAAAATCTAATTGAGTATGGTTATGTCCTGTTTAGCAAATTAGTGGCATATAAAAAGGACACTAACATAATGCTAACAAAAATCCGGTTGAACATAAAAAGTAGCGTATCTTTACCAAATTAGTTAATCTCATTTTACAGTGTCATTAAAATAAATTTGTAAAAATATTATAAAATGTATACAAATATAATGATATAAAAAAAAAACAAAATTATACACAAATTAGATACATTTACACAGATACCTATTTAATATAATAATATAATAATATAATATAATATAATATTACTATATAATGTATGGTTCTTTTTTTTTGAAACTTCAACAATTTATTTAGACAGTTAGTTATTAGTTGAGCATAGATAAGTTAATTAACACAGTTCATTAAAATATATAAAGATAAAGAAATTAAATAAGCTAGAGAACGAAACTGGTTGAACTAATGAAGGAAGGAAAGACCTGATATGATGATGAGCTGTTTAGCAGTCTTGTAAAGTATCTGAGAAGTATTTAAAAAGGTAGGTACTCAAATACGTGTTTTAAATACTTTTTCAAAGTATCTTTAGGTACATATTTAAAATCAAATACTCATTTTCATATATTTATTCTTTTAAGTTTATATATTTTCTATTTTTTATTTCTATTTTTACTGTGAAAACTGGTAATTCAAATAGGTATTACGATAAAGAAAACACATGAGTATTTTAAAGTTACACCAAATGATACAGAAGGTGTAAAATGCTCTATACAATTAACGTAAAAGATGAAAACGGGTTCGGTTGATTTATAAGGTAAAAAAAATTGTTATTAATAAATTGAAAGTATTTATAACTTTTCAAAATAAGTAGAATCTGTATCTGTATTTGAACACTTTTGAAGAGTATCTTTTACAATACTGCTATTTAGTATAGTGTAACATCGTATAAGGGTTATAATTATTATGACTAGAAAGAAAGGAAATAAATTCTGTAACGGTCCTGAACGAAAGCAGTACACCAAAGGAGGTGTGTGAAATCACATGTACCTATATAATATAGTCATACGTAGAGTGACTAAAATATATATTATGACAATCGTGAAGTTATTTGGGTCATTTTTTCATTAGTGACTAAACGATTTTGTAACTTTTGTTCATATATACTTGTTAATCTACTACAAAGTCGTATAAAAGTAATGTTACAATTTTTCTGCTGAAAATCAACCTTCCTTAGATAATTATAGATTGGCGCCACGGGCCATAACAGCTCGATATATAGGCGAAATTCGGGTTAAATGTATGGGGGTGCTAGATTAATGTCGACTTAAGTGATCAGTGGGGGTTTCCCCCACACTACTCTCCATTCATAAATAAATTTCGTACAAAACTTCGCATTAATCTTAATATAAACAATTACCTATAACATAATACACTTTTATCTATATTATTATTCTGATAGGTACCTATGTATTATTATTATTATGAAAAAGATAAGGCCTTAGAAATCAATGTATCCAAATACCTATGGCATAATTTTATAGTCAATGAAAATTCGTTGATTCTATCAAAAATTATTTGGGGGTGCTAATATGAATTTTGAGAGTTTTATCCTATGGCTCGATATCAGTTGAGTAGCTGTGAGCTGTGATCAAGAGCGGATTTATGGGGTATCTAATGACGTGGTGGTCAACCCCCCCTCAAATGGGATTTTTTTAACGATTTAATTATACTTTCTTCATTGTACTTTATATCACAATATTCCTACTCACTCTCTCCCCACAAACAAGATTGAGATCCGCCCCTGGCTGTGATCATGCACTTATCATAATTTAGTACAAGAATAATAATTAAGACATGAATTAAATATATAGATTTAAATTAAAAAAATAAGTGAAATATAAATCATTTAAATCAATAATATATATTTTTTTAAAGTGATTGTGAATTATAATTGTTACATCTAATAATACGTAAGCTGATAGTTTTATTTATTACTACTTATTAAAATTGAAAGGTGTACCTAATATAACGTAATATTTGTTAAGTACTTACTTACATACCTACGTAATTTAAAATTAATAATATTATCCCGAGAACTTTAAAGTAATCATTGGTACCTATTGGATATGAAAATAGAGTAAATATTTATAGTTTATAATAATATGTACAATGTATGCAAATATTTTGATATTAATATCTTTCCAAAGAAGTTAATTTTTTTCAAAATATATTGAATTAAATCATTTAATTTTTATCTACATACATACAATATTGTTTGCTACAAAAGGAAGTGTACATATTAATATGATATTATGACGTATAAGTATTACATTGTAGTACTTTCCTACATAGTTTATAAACAATACTAAATATAAACATTGTTAACTTGGTATTTTTTTACTTTAAATATATCTAAAGTACAGTAGATTACAAGTAGGTTACTGCAATAATAAGGGGCCCATGTAAAAATCCCAGATTGGGACCCTTACCTAATAAAAATGAAAAACAGTCATACCTTATTATAACACTATATAATATTATTTTCTCACATGCCATAGTTCATAATTATTAGTTACATATCATTTTACTCAAGTTTCTTGCATAGGTAAATACTCGTAATTATAATTCTTTAAACTCAAAAGAGTTTGTCAGCTATATATTAATATATTATGTATATTATTATTAAAACAATAGCCGGTTAAGTTGAATTATTATTATTTGTTTATTAAAATATTTGTATATTAATATCATTGTTTATTATAATTTATAATATACACAATAAAAAGTCAAACTTATACTATAGAAGCTTCAAGTACCCAAGAATAATATTTTCAAAATATAACACAAAATGGTCTTTAAGTAGGTAGGTACCTATATTTAAAAAGGTACTCGTCTAATATGCTACTTTGCTACCTACCGCTACTTCGTAGGTGTAGTATGCTACCTACCAAAAAACGTTAACTGATTATTGATTAATAACAAATTGACAACAATATTAATAACAGGTTATTACTAAATAATTTATTAATTTATTAATTTATTGTTGTCAAGTACCTACTTTATAATATTTCTATATGTCATTATATATTATTATACATTGTATATTATTTTCACATCATCGGTCATCCCAGAAAACTTCTAATAAGTCGTGTTGCGTATTAATAGACCACCACCATTCTTCTTTTAATTGTCGGTCTAACAAATCTGTTGCTGCTCGGGTTTTAATTCCGGATTTAGTTTTGACGTGTCTCCATGGTTCATATACACTCGATAGTCTGTGTTTGTGCGCGTGCCTGTTGTAGGATCAACAAAAAACTCGGAATGATTGACGGTTTCATGATGATAGCCTATATCTTTTAAGGTACTGTATGCTCGCCATTGATCTGAATAAATAATTGATCCTAGTTCTATTTCATTTTGTACTATTAGTAATAAAGTTGCCTTATTTCTTTTTTCCACTTTAAAAAATCTTCGTTCTAGAATCCCATCAACATTTTTATAACACATACCAAAAATCCATGGACCTTGAATGCGAGTACTGTAGGTAATTTTTTTGAGTTGAATAATCATCATCAATATCGTCAGCATCACATAAAAATTAAAACTCGCAACGAATAGGACACATACGACATACCCGAACACAACACAGACAGAACATAGACTAAACTAATATATTATCTAAAAGTAAGTTATCATGGGTCTTGGTGGATCAGTAAAGTTATCATAATGGCTATTATAATCTATAATTTTGTACAACTGTTATAATATGTTATTTATCGTAATGACTCAAATGTACTTTCCCGCAATAAAATGAAATAAAATAAACATAACTACGGTAGGTAGCATACAACACGCATACAGGTTTTTGGTAGATACCATTTTATGGTAGGTAGCATATTAGACGAGCACCTTTAAAAATTCCAAAAATCGGGTTTTGAATAATTTGGTTCATTATTGAAGAAAAAAGTCTCTAATCATTTGTTAATTAGTCAGATAATATCATTAATTAGCTGATTAAAAGTTTTTTGATATCATGAACTCTCTATTATAATTCATTAGTATAATATAATTTTACAAACATGAAATTAATGTAACATTTCTTAAAATATCATCATTAAATTTAGAATCTAATAAATTTGTTTTTATATTGGTTAAATGACAGTGCCAGAGTAATCTGTTGTCGTCTATTTTAGACTTTTCTCCTCGTCCATCCACCACAAGATTTTGTTACTAGATAGTGCTGGCATTCACGTTTTTTCGTTTTATTTAATTTTCATATTTCCGATAAAAGTAATACCTACCTAACCTTTTAATATCGAACCGAACAATTCAATGTGATGTCGAACTTAAAGTTTAAACTGAATTTTTTAATCGTACTTGAACCGAACATTTTGCTCAACATCAAACCACACCCGTACCATATATTTATTGTATTTCATTATTGAACTGAACCCAAACTAAACTTTTGAATTAAATGTCAAATCAAACTTTGTTGTCTTATGTCAAACCAAAATAACTAGCGACTATCGAGTAAGGTGTAGGACTATTAATTATAGAATTTCGAACTTCTTGTTTGAGATAGGTTCAATTCAGTATTTTTAATGCTTGGTTCGACTTTTGAACAGTTTGACCAACCTCTAATGATGACCATATCCATATCCAATACTCCATATAGCAGGGGTGTCGCCAACCTTTTCCGACAAATGCGCTATTTTCAAAATTTTAAATGTCTTGTAAATGATCGACCACTACTTATTTAGGTATATTATTTATATTATTACAAACATCATGATAATAAGTTGTATAATAATATTTATTTTTTTAATTATTTCTACATCGGGTTTTTTCTTCGCTAATAAATACTTTACTTTGTATTTAAAGCATAAAATGGTGCTTAAGATAAGGCAAGTGATCAACCGGTATTGGTAATAAATTGGTATAAATATTTTCAATACTATCGACCAATATTCCTCAAAAGATCGTGGTCGACTGGTTGACGACACCTGCGGCATATAGTATAATATAACTGAAACTTTTTTTTATAATATTGTGTATCTTGACGTGTTCCAGACTAATTGTCTGTATATATCTAATGTAATTACTAATTTATTAATAATTATGTACATTGCCTTCTTTGTTGTAAATATATGACCACTGCCACTACTCTCAAGTCTAACAGTAATCACATTTGGATAACACTTTTTACAAAACTTTTATTGAAAACAATAAAAATTCATAGTCGAAATTTTTTTTTATAAGCATTTTAAGTTCAATTCTTGACAAAATATGTAAAAATAATGAACATTTACAAACTATTGTCAGTTAGAAATCTAATTTTAAAATGTAATGAAAGATTCCTTATAAGTTTGTCTATTTAGTACCTTTATAAAAAAAAATTTCTTGTAGAAATTCATATTAAATTTTTTATAGGTAAGTGTTTGAAGTTCATATTTTTACAACATTGGATATTCACTCGATTTCTCATGTAGCTTTCTGTAAAAAAGAAAAATGATTCAGCTACTATTCAAATGATGATAATTAATATAGGTATCTGGTACCTACCACTTACAGATATTATTCATTTTAAAAATCGTTTTTCGTACATGGTCTTCGGTGGTTGTGCAATTCAATAAAACGAAATATTATTATTACAAACAAGGTGATTCTCAGTATAGCTCAAAAAGAATTTGTAAATCGTTTTTAAAGAATATTTTTGAAGAAAAACGAGTTTTTCACTGTTCTTAATAATTATTATAATTTTATTAGTTTTCAATCATGTTGAATGTCTGCAGCATACTCTTTAAATATTCTGAAGTAGAATATCTTTCTGAGAAATTTAATGCGAGTTTAGACGATTTTTTACGACAAAAATATTTGTTTGTAATGACTTAAAGCTATGTGAAACAAATCGTACGTATAATGTTAATTACCTCTTAAGTCGATCAATCATCTTTAGAATTTTACAGTTCAAACTGTTTACAGTTACGTAGGTAGCTCACATAAATAGTATAAGTGTGAATTAAAGAATTTTTACTTTCTTCTTTTTCTCATTATATATGAGACATTACATCATTCACCTTTAGGTATCTAAGTGGTATCTAAGTGGCTAAGAGCATATTTTGAGCATATAGATATAGGTATTATATTATATAATCTAACATTAGTCGGTATCTACATAATATTACTTATTAGTGTTATACTTTAATTTTTTAGAATTTAAAATTTGCATGGTAAATAATGCAACATATACAAATTGACGTTCAGAATAAATTAATACGTTAGGGCGGCCACCCCATTTGGAGAAATGAAAACAAAATGATAAAATAATTGCAATCAGCGGTGCACATTGAGTAGTAGGTATATATTATGATTGAATTGAGTATAACTGCGCTTTGTGCGTATACACTATTGTTTGACCGTATAATTTTGAAAGCGGATTTTTTGTATCATTTCCGAAGTTACTACCCCAGAGGCAATTGGCCATTCTTTTCATGGAAACCAGTGCAAAATGTGCAGGTAAAGGAATAGTGTTTTGTTTTTCCGTATCGACCAATGACTGAACATAAACTGATTTATTGCCGTTTCAATTTCGCATCATTACATCGTTGCCAATAAAACCTGACCTAACCAGCTATGTCGATACAATGACACTTTAGGTCGAATATAGTAGGTTATTGCTTGATTGGTAGGCAATTCTATTGGTAGGTATATTATTGTTTATCATATAGGTAAATATATATTTATTCAAAAATGTTTTCGATTGTACATAGAGTTACGAGCGTTTTAAATTTGATAAACGACTTTAACACTATTGTAAGCTCGGCTCCAAATTAGTTTTCTAATGCAGTAATGCGATATCGTTTATCAAACCATAATTTAAGACACCGTTTCGTGCCAAGTTAAGTGTAGAAAGACGTATTATCAACACTGGCCAGTCTCCGTAATCTGTAAGCTTATTTGTAAAATAATATTATGAACAATATGTAAATTATTTGTACTATTGTTTTTGTGCATTAATTAAAGTACTTACGGAGAAGTGTTAAAATATACTGAAACAGTCTTTGATTTAAAAAAAAAATGTTTTATAAACATAACTGTTAAGGAATTAAATTATTACAATATTATGATATTAAAATTAAAACGGCTGCATCCGATCTTTATCGCATAGTTATGCGACCGTGTAATTTTTTTGAATATGGAAGGACATACCGTAGATATGAAATTGATTTTCTTTTGTTTAACGATAATAACATTATATGTCATCTCCAATCTATTCTATTATAATTATTTTATGATTTGTGGTTTGTATATTAACAGTTGACATTATAACAACATCTGTAAAAAAAAAAAAACCAAACATATTAGTTACTAGTATTATTTAAATGTACATAATAAACATCTAGTAGGTTTAATGATAAATTATAAGGTTGCTTATATGGAAAAAAATCTTGGTCTAAATATTAAATTATTATTTTTTATCAACTTGAAGTATATGAAATTAATTCTGGTGTGTTATTTTTAGCTTAAATTATAATTATTCATAAATATTCAACAGCCTATATGTACATAATAATATATCAATTCAAACACATTAATTGATTGAATTAATGCATGGTATATTATTGTTATTACCATAATATGCTAATGGTATTCCCTAATAGTTCTTTGTATTACACTCGTACATTGTGAATCAATAATCTCCAAATGTCAACCACTAGAACAGAAATATAGAACTAGGAGTGTATGAACGAATACCATTGTTGATAATGGACTGCTCGAAGATCAATTACAGGACCTCGTAACTAAAATATTGACTAAGAATAAAATAGTTATTTTGTCTGAAGAATAAACATAGTTATGTTGATGAATTTCCCTGTAATCAAAACATTATATTTTATTCATACACATTTTTCCAGTATAAATAATAATTTTTTTTCTTTTAATAAATCAAAGTAGCACGTCAGAGATCTGGAATGTACAGCTTAGAGACTACAGTGTAAGATGTCACAAGACACATCACTTCCTAATTCCTATTAGTTCTTTCTTAATAAAACTATAGCAGTTAAAAGTACATGGTGATTTTTTTTAAGGTAAATACTCTTTTCATCGGGAATTTTAAAGTTTAAGAAAATATGTTTTGTAGATAAACCCTTGAAATGTCATTGATATATAAATTGAATTTTTTACCATTTCTTATCGCTAATTTTTATAAGTTATTACGTTTGTAAATGGACAGAAAATATTTTTTATTTTATATGGTCTAAAGCCAAATATTTTTCTGAGGCTTTTAATGCATAGAAATCAAGGTTTAAACGAGTAGTTAATTAGTTGTACAACTTTCAAGAAATTGGGAGTTTACCTTTTAAAGAACCATCCTGTTTTGTTCAATACCTGAACACGCGTGTACCCATTTTGCCTAAGCATTGCGCCGTGTTACATTTTATTTTATTTTACCAATGATTATTGATTATCGTCAACAACTTCAAAATTATATACAATTAGGAAATTAATTAATTTTTAAAGTTTTTTTTGACTAAAACAGACAATTTAATGAAAATTTAGTAATCATTTTATATTGTCTGCGATTT